CACTGCTCTGCCATATGGATATTGCATATTTTGTTATCATGATAGTACATTTTTCCATATACATTTCAGCTCTTGATAGCTCAGTGTTTAGCATTGTCGGCTCACAGCAAAATAGTCACTGGATCAAATCCTGGCTCGGCCAATTGGCATATCTGACTAGAGTTTGCATGTTCTCCTTATGTTTGTGTGGGTTTTGTCCGGGTGCTCTGGTTTCCCTCACAGTCCAAAGACATGCGCTATAGATGAATTGAGTAAATTAAATTCTTTATAGTGTTTGAGTCTGTGTGTGTGAATGAGTGTATAAGGGTGTTTTCCAGTACTAGGTTGCAGATGGAAGGGCATGTGCTGCGTAAAACATGCTGGAATAATTGGCGGTTCATTCTGCTGTGGCGACCTCTGAAATAGAGACTAAGAATGAATGAATGTGTACTCTAGCTTGTCGTTTTACAGCCACACACACACACAGAAAGCAGAACCTCAGGCTGATGGAGTGCTGGTTCAGTGGTAGCTCCTCATCATTCAGCAGCCTCAGCACCTCTGGGTTCAGCTCAGTGTCAGGACAGACAGATGAACATTTATCAGACACATCGGATTATCCGCTCTTTTGGACGCTCTGGAAACAGGCGATCACACCAGGATCAATGACATACATGTGCAGAGTAGAGTTCATGTCAAAACAGCACTTACACACAGCCTTAAGCAGTTTCTGAAGAAAGAGGCACACAGGAATTAAAGAAAATAAGGTTTTAGGTGTGGGTTTGAGGATGTCAATATTAGTGTTTATATTTAAATTATTGTAAAAGAAATGCTGTCAGCCATTTACAGAAAAAAATGCCAATTACATTTAAATTGTAAATCCAAACAAACTACCTGTAATAGCTTCTGCATGCTTTGAGTGCATCTGCATAGACCAGGGGTGTCAAACTCATTTTAGCTCAGGGGCCACATGGAGGAAATCTATTCCCAAGCGAGCCAGATCAGTGAAATCATGGTATGAATAACCTAAAAACAACAACTTCAGATTGTTTTCTTTGTTTTAATATGATCAATTAAAAACATAAAGCTGGAGCGTGAGGACAACACGATCCCACAGAAATTCATAACCTTTTGATTTAGTGGCTAATTCATATGGATTCTTACAATCTCATCTGTACATTGGTACAATTTGCTTGTCCACCAGTGATAGTTGGTTTTAAGGGTGTGGGTGCCACGCCTCTTTTTATAATATCGTACATTTTCATATGACTGAACTTGTACGAATTAGCAACAAAACCTGACAAAGTGTAAAATGGCTACATTTTCTTGTGAGAACACCTCTGTGTGGTAGGGCAGGGCATAGATGTGGTTTTTCTCTGAGAAGGCTTTATAAAACTGATGCTGATTCAGGATCCTTTATCGCAGTGGTTCTTAACCTTTTTCACTTTAGGCCCACTGCTTTCTATGATCAATTTTTGTAGGCCCACCTAAAAAATTACCTTTTCTCCAAAATGCTTTTATGAAATGCTCATTTAAACCTTTATTTATTATAAATATATACAGCTGATGTCAGAATTATTAGCCCCCTTGAATTATTAGACCGCTTGTTTATTTTTTCCCCAATTTCTGTTTAACAGAGAGCAGATTTTTTCAACACATTTCTAAACAAAAATAGTTTTGATAACTCATTTATAATAATGGATTTATTTTACCTTTACTATCATGACTGTAAATAATATTTTACTAGATATTATTCAAGACACTTTTAGAAAGCTTAAAGTGACATTTAAAGGCTTAACTAGGTTAATTAAGTTAACTAGGCAGGTTAGGGTAATTAGGCAAGTTATTGTATAATGATGGTTTGTTCTGTAGACTATCGAAAAAATATATAGCTTAAAGGGGCTAATAATTTTGTCCCTAAAATGGTGTTTAAAAAATTAAAAGCTGCTTTTATTTTTGCCGAAATAAAACAAAAAAGACTTTTTCTAGAAGAAAAAATACTATCAGACAATTGAAATGAAATGAAAATTTCCTCGCTCTGTTAAACATCATTTGGGAAATATTTAAAAAAGAAGAAAAAAATCAAAGGGAGCTAATACTTCTGACTTCAACTTTATGTATTATACAGTGTTTCCTCTAGGATTTTTTCCAGCTGTGGCGGCAGGTCTTTTTTTACAAAGATCTACCAACTACCTGGCGTTATTTCAATGACAAATGTCGTGAGCGCATTTATGTAATAGCCACACATGTGTATCAGTAAATTTGAACTCGCAGAGCAAATTTGCAAATGTGTATCAGTAAATTTGTACTTGCAAGTTTCGCACTAAAAATACCTTCATAACCTAGGTATTATCTTTAACATTTATTAGATTTGCTAGGAATATTCATGAATGTCTCCAATAGACCTCAGAGCTGTATTAATGCGTCCTGAAATAAAGTTAAACAGCTATCTGTCGTGTTTGCTTGCCTCACGCATCACGCACCTGTCAGTCAGTCAGTCAGGTCAGTCAGCACGTAACCTTAAAGGGTTAAACAAATTACGCACAGCACTACTACGGTTACAGAAAAGTTCTTGCTGTTATAATTCACTTACCTTTTAAAATGTTTTGGTGCGATAAACACGACTGAATGTTTTGAATGGAAATCTGTAATGTATCCGCGGCAGGATAAATTTTTAACCATGTTATATATGTATTGTTGTGTCTTCTATTATTAGCATTTTATAAAAAAAATATACAATTTTATTTAAATTGAATTATATTTAAAATTAAAACTGTATAATATACATTATATATAAAAACTATATATATATATATATATATATATATATATATATATATATATATATATATATATATCATTATAAAAAAAAATTTCAAACATACACAGATTCAAAGAGAACCACAAGGAGATTGCAAAAAAGCAGCTTCTGCTTTAAGCTGAACTGATTGAATATCTACTATTAAATATCTTCTATTCAAAATTAAACAAGCAAATGTGAAATACAGTAAACACCCTAAATCTGTTGAAACATGTCGATCTGATGGTGGTTGAAATTGCAGCTGGTTATTATTGGGAGATCGCTGACAGGAACAGTGAACAGCTCCACACAGAAATGCCAGCTGAGGCTCAAACCAACATGAATAAATATTGCTATTTAAAATTCCATTTAACACGTTAGAGTGCAACATCCAATTTAAAAAGAAACATTGGACAATTTAAAAAAGTTTTCAATTTGTGCTGTTTAGTTGCATTTAGTTTCCGTTTCCTAAATTTTAGGGTGCGTCTCAATCAGCTCCCTTGTTCAGTAGTCAGTGCTGTCTCTATCACAAAATTGTTCCAGTCCACTGAAATCAGGGCACGTTTTTTTTCTCTCCCATGTGGCACAGATCGGATAATCACATAGATTCCGATTTACTCAAATCAGATTCAGGCCTTGTTCATATGTGAGAATTTATTTGATATTCACTGGATCTGTGTTCTCGTGTCTGCAGTGTAAGCAGGTAGATCGGATTTTCACCAGTCAATGCGAGTTGCGTGTCATTAAAAACCCTAACAAATGACGTCAAGTCTGACACTTTCATTTCGTAACAGACTTCAGACCAAAACCTTAAATCTCATACACGAGGACTTAAACAGCTTTAATTTTGTCATATAGCACAGGTATTTAAGCTTGTTAACGAGAGAGAGAGATAGAGAGAGAGAGTGCAATGTCCACCACGTAACCAATATAAACTAATATAAAACTGGTGCATAGCTACATCACGTGCGTAAATCATGCCATGGATATTACATTAAGATGCCTAAGAGTTTAAAAAAGCCTGTATATCAAAATAAGATGAACAAATGAGAGCCTTTCTGTCATAAACTATAGTGAAACAGCTTGTCAATAGCTGTGAACAGATTACATACAGGAATAGAGAAAAGAGCACTCTTTACTCATCAGCTGTTAGTCAGCGCCCGCTCTTTTTCCTGGTCATTGCTCCTTTGCCGTGTGCTGTGTAAATGCAGACAATCGGATACAAGTCACTTTTAAAAAATGATGTAAGCAGGTCATCAAAAAAATCTAATCAGAATTGACCATCAAGATCTGCAGAGAAATGCAGCTTTTGACTATGATCGCCTCAGGTACTGATTATGTGCTTCAATCAGTGTTAAATGCTCCCAATTAGAGTTTGCATACTATTTTGATGCCATTTATTACCATACTACTGAAAGCAGCAGCAGCAGATAGTTCACCTCAGATCTTGAAAATGAAATAACTGGTTAAATGTCCCATAAAAATTAAAATAGTTTTTTTTTTTAGGTGTTAGTATCAGTATATTAGTTTTAAGATTATCTATAAGTTAGTGTGCTACAAAACAGGAGAAAAAATTGTGTATAAGATTACCCTAAAATGGATGTTTTTTTTTTTTCACGTCACTTCATACTTCAGTTTCTCATCAAATCTTTTGACCAATCAAATACTCTCTAGTATCTGACATGCTCCGCCCCCTTCAAGACGCTTGTCATTTGCTTTTCGTTTGATGTGCTTGATCTCAACCACTCTCACTGGCAGAGCTGTGATAAAAACCAAACGCTATTGGCTGTTTTTAAGGGGAGGAGCTACTCTATGTCCTGCCCTCTTTTTACGTTTCAGTTGAGATCACGTCAAACATCGAATAAACAATACACACTTCAAAGCATTTCATTGGACGTTTAAATTAATAGTATTTCAATGTTTCTGTCATATCACATTCGGTGCGGAGAACCAAATTTCTTGTTGCATATTGTTAGGACACAGTGTCAGCGTCCTAATTTCTAGGGAATAAACCTCATCACTGTCCTTACAAGTGCTCGAATTTATGTACACTATAATTCATCTCGGAAGATGCAACATTAGAAATTAACATTATTATATATTAAAATTCAAAGATATAACCGAGTCAACACAAGCTTTTTGTTTGCATATGCAGAAGATGAAACTCTATCTGTATGCGGCTGTGCTGAGCAGTTCTTGTTGTTATTGTGTGTGTGTGTTTCAGTCTCAGAAGGACCCGATGCTGGTGGAGAAGATCATGAACGATCTGGACTCCAACAAGGACAACGAGGTGGACTTTAATGAGTTTGTGGTTCTGGTGGCGGCGCTGACTGTGGCCTGTAACGACTTCTTCCAGGAACAACAGAAGAAAAGGAGCAAATAGAACACATTGTATACCCGTAATGCTCTATGACGCATTAAACCATCACAGCAGTCCTCCTGTTACTCCACATTCATCTACATCTTTGTATTTAAAATATTTAAAATGACAGTTTTCTCACATTAATGTATTTATCGTAAACTGAGTGCTGGATCTCATTAGTTTGTAGTTTGCATTTCATTAAATCATTCAATCAAAGCAGTTATTCAATGATTTTTATTCTTTTTCACTACAGCGTAATGAACCGCCAACTATTCCGGCATATGTTTTACGCAGCGGATGTCCTTCTGGCCGCAACCCAGTACTGGGAAACACCCATATATTCTCACATTCATCACACTCATACACAACAGCCAATTTTGTTTACCCAATTCACCTATAGCGCATGTCTTTGGACTGTGGGGGAAACCAGAGCACTTGGGCGAAACCCTGCATGCCAACACGGGGAGAACATGCACACAAAAATGCCAACTGACCCAGCCTGGACTTGAACCTGTGAGGTTCTTGCTGTGAGGCGACAGTGCTTTGTTAATTAGTATGAAACTTAAGTGTAGTGTATAAATTGTTTATTTTAAATTAAAACTATTTCGACATTTTAGATAATTGAAAATGATTGCTGAAATAAAAGAAATTAGAAATGTTACCCCAATGACTAATAAAAAAACACTAAAACAGTTTTTTATACATACTAAGTTAATCATAATTATTGTTTAGTTTTGCTTCAGTTTTATAACAGTTCATAGAAAGAAATTAAACCTGACAAAGTCATAAAAATGCCAAAAAAAGATTATAAATAGTGTTATTAGGGCTAATTTTAAATATTAATAAAACCTATAATTATATAAATAACAAAATACAGAAGCCTAATATATATATATATATATATATATATATATATATATATATATATATATATATATATATATATATATATATATATATATATACGTGCACGCACACACGCTCTTCTGCATGCCTCAGTTGTAACGAGTAATTATTAGAGTTACTCATGCCTTTCTATCAGCTCTAACCTGTCTGGCCATTCTCCTCTGAACTCTGTTTTTCGTACCATTCTCTGTAAACCCTATCGATGGTTGTGCGTGAAAATCCCAGTGGATCAGCAGTTTCTGAAATACTTAGAGCAGCCCGTCTGGCACCAACAACCATGCCTCGTTCAAAGTCACTTAAATCACCTTTCTTCCTCATTCTGATGCTCGGTTTGAACTGCAGCAGATCGTCTTGACCATTTCTACATGCCTAAATGCATTGAGTTGCTGCGCTGTGATTGGCTGACTAGAAATTTGCGTTAATGAGTAGTTGGAAAGGTGTTCCTAATAAAGTGGCCGGTATACACAATTTATATTCATTTAAATGGCTAAATAAAAAATGAATAAATAATAAAATAATAATAAAACTAAACTAAAAAGTAAGACTATTAATAACATGATATATAGCCATAAAAATAAATGTACTTTTATTTTTTTTAAAGTACAATCATTGTTTTGATTTGGTCTCAAAATAATATTTATCAAATATATATTGCATAAGAAAAATAGCACACAAAAATTGAGGAATACAGTACTTACAATTTTTACACATCAAAGGATCAAATCAATTGAGAATAAAAAGTAAATATAAATAAAATTACAGAGGATATATAAATTCGCATAAGAAATGGATTTCAAAATCAACTGTTAGGGTTTTAAATTGTTAAGATCCATTTTAAACAAATAAATAATGTTAAGTTTATCATTGGTCCATTTTTGTTTGTGCACATGGTACTTCCCAAATATAAAGTAATGAATTAAATTAATAATTAATAGTTCATAAACAGAAAACCATCCATTTCACTGGAAACGGAAGATTAACGCGAGTGCATTGTGGGATAGCCTACGTGACGTGATTTATCCGCTACTACGTTTAACCGTGGTTGTTTTTCACAAAGTAAATTGTCTGTTTTGTCAAAGAAGAAAGTCGTAAAGTTTGGAGAGACGCCAGGGTGAGTAAACGATGACGTAGATGTTTCATTTCGTAGTAAATGACGAGATCTTGCGATTTCTGTCTGACGGGAATGTTGATGTTTATCCAGAAACAATTCCCGCTTTATCAGCCGAGTGTCTATAAAGTTTAACAGTGTGTTCACGGGCTTTATGGTCCACATGAAGCATCTGTATTGGAAAGTACATCAGACAAAAAAGGAATGATATTTTACCAGAAGTGCCGTTTCCCTTCTCTTTGTAGGGCCCTTGATATTCTCTGAAAGATTCTCGGTTCTGTGTGGATTAAAGTAAAGTCGGTTTTATAGAGAGGGTGGTTTTATATTCACACATCTAAATTTCCTCCTTAATAATATAATTTCAGAAAAGGATTATTTGCTAACTAAAAACAGTGAAATCCTATTAGCAGCCAGTGACTATCAAAGTACACCATTGTTCACAGTCAAAGAAATAGTGCTAATATTGTCTTGAAGCTTCAATCCGAATATTCAAAGTACCATGTTAAGAAATATATGTAGCATGTCACAAGTTGTCACTAAACAAATAACCGAATAAAAAACCCAACTTTACCTCACTTCTGTGTTGTGCGTTTACAGACACTCTCTGTGTGAAATGTTATTTTAATTAGCAGCCACCACAATTTAATTGCATTGTGTCATTATTGGATAATAGAGTTGGGTTTTAATGAGATGATTAAAAGTCTTTTAGTGCACATTTGCCTTTTGCTTCTGAGGTAACTTAGGCTACACTTTGCATTGAGGCAAAGTTGGTCTTGCATTCACATATTTGCATTTATCCTTAATAATATGATTTTAGGAAAGCATTCTTTGTAAATTCTGAATAGTAAAATCATATTAGCAGCCAATGACTATCAAATTATTGTTCACGGTCAAATAAATAGTGCTAATGTTGTTTTCAAGTCATATTTACATGGGATTTCAGTCAGAATTTTCAAAGTACCATGGTAAACATGTCACAAGTTGTTATTGAATGAATGTGTGAATATAAAACAAATTTTACCCCAATACTCTTTATTCTTAGTCCGGTCACTGATTCACACTAGTTGGTTGTACAGGCTGAAATTTTGCAGTTTATGTAAAGCACTTGTTTGCAAGCTTTTTGTGCTATTGCTGATTTGAACGGCAGCTGCTGTGCCAGGAGTCCAGGACTACATTTTGATATCCAACCGAAGCTTAAAGCAGGTTGTCCAGTTTTACATATAATAATAATAATACTGACAAAAAATATATAATTTGTTAGTTGTAAATATTTAGGTCTATTTCACGTCGGGCCATGAACTTTTACAACATAATGAAGGTAAACTGACTGACACAGAACATGCAATTTAATTTTTCTACATACAGTGCATCCGGAAAGTATTCATAGCGCTTCACCTTTTCCACATTTGTTTATGTTGCTGCCTTATTCCAAAATGGATTAAATTCATTTATTTCCTCAAAATTCTACACACAATATCCCATAATGACAAAATGTGAAAAAAAGAGTTTTTTAAATTGTTGCAAATTTATTAAAAATAGAAAAGCTGAAAAATCACATGTACATCAGTATTCACAGCCTTTGCTCAATACACCTTTGGCAGCAATTACAGCCTCAAGTCTTTTTGAATATGATGCCACAAGCTCGACGCACCTGTCTTTGGGAATTTTTGCCTGTTCCTCTTCGCAGTACCTCTCAAGCTCTATTAGGTTGGATGAGAAGCGACATTGTACAGCCATTTTCAGATCTCTCCAGAGAGGTTCAATAGGATTTAGGTCTGGGCTCTGGTTTGGCCACTCAAGGACATTCACCGAGTTGTTGTGAAGCAACTCCATTGATATTTTGGCGGTGTACTTGGGGTCATTGTCCTGCTGGAATATTAACTGTCGCCCCAGTTTGAGGTCAAGAGCTCGATGAAGCAGGTTTTTATTCAGGATGTCTCTGTACATTGCTGCATTCATCTTTCCCTCTACCCTGACTATTAATATATAAAAAAACAACTTTGTAGGTTTCTCCTGTTTTCAATCCAATTATATAAAAAAATCTTAAATCAAGACCCATACTGAAGACATGAAATTGCATCAGAAATGATGGCTTGTTTTCTGAAAAAAAAAAAAAACACCTCAAAATTATGTGATTGCTTGCTTTAATCAAGCAAAATTATTTGCCAATAGGCTCAGAAAAATAATCTTAATGCAATATAATCTCAAACAGAAGATTTAAGCATCACCTAATTTTCTCTTGCTATTTTTCCTGTCTGGTCTTGATTTAAGATTTTGTTTTAGATATTTGGACTGGAAATGGGATGAAGTGACTAAAGTAACTTTGTTCACAGGCGCGCGGCAGCCCTCTCTGTGGTAAGGGCTCACGGTCAGCAGCTCACGTCACGTTTGATATTGCGGCCGCGAATACATCATTATATGAAGACAGAAAGGGCATTTTTGGGTGAATTATATCTTATAAATAAAGCATGGGACTCATTCAACTCCATTTCAACACCATTAGTGTCCGTATTGCTGAACAGCGTATGTAAAAACAATGTGAAGACTTGCGGCCACCTTTTCTTCTCTCCTGAACTTGAAAATATGATTGGCAGAATCGTAGAAATGCTGCATTAAGATCGTCTAGGGGTCGAATCGAGATCGCAATCTTTTTTCGATTAATTCTGCACTAGGCCAAGGGTACAAAAATAGAATTAGGATTGGGCCTTAATGTACTATGAGGTACAGATTTAGTTATTAATATCCTTTAATGACCTGCTAGGAACAAAAATCTACCTTTTTAAATGGTTTCGCCCCAGTGACAGATTTTGTACCTTTATTCCTGAGAGTGTAGGCTAGGGGGCGAAGCTGTGGCGCAGTAGGTAGTGTGCTGTTGCCTCACAGCAAGAAGGTCATTGGTTCGAGCCTCGGCTCGGCTCAGTTGGCGTTTCTGTGTGGAGTTTGCATGTTCTCCCTGCATTCGCGTGGGTTTCCTCCGGGTGCTTCGGTTTCCCCCACAGTCCAAAGACATGTGGTACAGGTGAATTGGGTAGGCTAAATTGTCCGTAGTGTATGAGTGTGTGTGTGGATGTTTCTCAGAGATGGGTTGTGGCTGGAAGGGCATCCGCTGTGTAAAAACTTGCTGGATAAGTTGGCGGTTCATTCCGCTGTGGTGACCCTGGATTAATAAAGAGACTAAGCCGACAAGAAAATGAATGAATGAATGAAGGAATGAGTGTAGGCTAGCAAAATAATTATTGTACATTTCATGTGAACTCAAACATATATTGTACTTAACTAATCCACTAGCAAATCCAGAGTATTTGCAAAGGGTCTCATTATTTTCATCAGCTGTATAAATATCAAAATATATGAACAAAAGCTTCATTCATTCAATTACATTTTCTGGATGTGCTTAAGCGGCTCTATTAGATTACACCAGAGTGTGTGTATTTTTTCATAATCTGCTAATTGCTACTCTTTTAAATGCAGGTCCTATGAAAAGCGTCTCGTTTCTCTGGCTGAATGGAGGTTATGAAGGTTAAACTGTTTTCAGTTTGTCCTCTTTGACTGGACTTGACTTCCGGTGTCTTCTAGCGGACGGTTAATGTTTCACACTTGGGAGAGCTTGTGATGTCAGCGATGATGCCGTGATGTGATGTAAGAATGATACACGACCTCATTTCCAGGCCTTGTCAATCAACCTGGGTATTTTTATAAAGGACGAATGAAGATCTCAGCCGAGAAGCGTGACTGCAAACCCGAGC